ATATTGACGACGATCAATGTGTGTATATATAAGTAAACTATTTTTATTTTAGAATTGAGAATATATTTTTGTGAGAAAAGATAAACTCACAGTAGGCCGTTTAGAAGTTGACATTCTTGGCTGGATATGTTGAATATGAAAAAAAAATTTATATATTAGATTCCCATTTTGTATATATATATATAATTAATAAATTATATCTCTTTTGTATATATAAATATTTTTTACCTTCCAAAAAGACGAACCACGTCCATGAATTGTTCCCGAACCAGTGACTGTTAAACCGATTATTTCCTTAAAACTAACCCATCTAAATAGCTTATTTTCGGACCAAGCTGCTTTGTTGATAGGCGCAACAATCTTTCCGTTAAACTGCGTAAATGAATATATATATCTTTAATATTCACATAAAGTAACTTTTTATTCGCGTAAAATTGTGAATGGATTTATAAAGAATATCGATAACTACCTTAACTTGTACGGAAGGAGATTTACAAGGGCCTTGGAACATAAGAGGTTGTAGTAAGAATGTTTTGTTTGAAGGAATAAGGAATGTTTTTGAATTCCCACCGCTACCGCACATTGCTTTCCATGCGTTCACAAAAGCCTAATTATTTTATCAAAAAATCAAATGTATAAAAATTCTTAACTCAATAACTAAAACGATTATGATTACGTTGTAGGAATATGAATAAAAAAACTAATATTGTTATGTATACGCAAATGTATGATATCATATGATAATATTTTGGTTTGAAAACTTACAAAATTCAGATATTTTCATAGAGTAACACAAGATAATATTTTCCAATATAATACCTTGGAATCATCGATAATACCGTTTCCCTTGGCACCAAATTTAAGCACATCATAGATTTGGCCATTTACAAGAACAGAATGCAGTAAAGTCAACAAGAACACACCACGTAGTATGATTTCCTACAACATCAACATCCAAAATCAATGTTAGAAAGAAAGAAAAATACTAACTTCTTTTTATTATAACTTTACTAAACTTCATATGTACCATTGTGTAATGATGATCAGATGTAATGTAGTGTATATGCATGTGATGTTGCTCACTTAAATATACACATACAAAATCATGGGTATATCTTCTTAAATCAGGTTCATGGATATAGTTTTAAACTTTTCATATTTTATGCCTAAATTCATTAGTTAATATGATGAATATTCTTTTGCATATAAGTGATATTATCTCTCTTTTTATATAACATTTAGAAATAAATCATAATATACAATAAATAAATAGAATTAAAAGAAATAGTCAACAAATACAAGTTAAAAGAGAAATGAAAATACTTGAATAAGAGGAAATAAATAAAAAGGCATTTTGGAAAACTAAAAAATAGAATAAAATTTGGATGCATATTGTGATCTCATTGCATTACTAACTTATTTGATAAATACGAGTAATATTCTGTGTAACTAAGCAGCCATTGACATTGAAAACTAAGGGGGGTGTATTAAAGAAAGTTTTTATAGTGATTTGAGTTTTAATGAGTTTTGAGATGATTTTGGTGAATTAGAAAATCTGTAATTAAAATTCTCCCAAATCTCACCTAGCTAAAACCATGGGATTTGGATGTTTGAATTTTTAACTAAGATATTCTCTGAAATTCCACCCAAAGTCACTCAAGTCACCTCAAATCCACAACTTAAAATGTTTCCAATAACATTGGATTTGATTGTAGATTTTAAAATCACTTATCCAATAACACTTGATTTTAGAAAGTTTTTTTGAATTCATGTTTGAATAACATAGGATATTAGGATTTATCATTTTAATACAAATCATTTCAAATCCTTTATTGAATACAAACCCCCCTATATATATATAATGCTTTTCTAAAGACTTGGTAGTGAATTTGAAATATATAGACAGTAATTTAAATTAAAATCTGATATCGTGAATTTATTAATAATGTTTTGATGATTACAAAATTGAAAGATAAGTTTGATGTACGATAAAATTTTAGAAATTATCCACTAATTTTAGATGTTATCTTCTTTTTTCTTTTACTTTTTGTTTTCTAAAATTAAATAATATTAAACAAAATCCACAGAAAAATAAAACTTGAAAAACAAAAATAAATAATTTAATCAACATATAGCATTACATGGTAGATTTCTAATGTAGAAGAATGGTAGATTTTTGACATAAAAGCAAAGAAATAACAAGTGAAAGCAACAACTGAATCTTGTTGAAAAAATGTCTTTAGTTAAGTGGTTTAGTATTTTATTTGTTTTCACGACAAAAACAAGCACCTAGTTTTCTGATTTTAAGCTCTAAACTACGTGATATTATTTGTTTGAATAAATATAGTGTGCTAGAAGATGGGATCATGATCATTTCCATTTGAAAAATTCACAATGTTACAATTTTTTTTAAAAGATATATTAATTAGTTTGTTATAATTTTGACCAACAAACTAAAATAAAGTTGTCAGTTCGTTAAATTTAAAATCCTCTCTGAAAAAGAAAAATATTTAACAAAAATTAAAAAAGAATAATGAAAGTTTCGGAATTAATTAGGGCTTCCTTTTGCTTACATGACACCGACGCAAGTCATTAAGCTCTCTGTTTCATAAGTTTCATCTGATCTGTTCTAGAGAAAAAAAATCTTACGATGCCAGAAGACAAGATCAGTAAATTGTCCGACGATTTGCTTGTGCAGAGTCTATTGCTTGTCTCCACAAAAGATGCAGTGGCCACCACGGTTCTGTCAAAACTCTGGCGTTTTATATGGACAATGATGCCTAGACTTGAGTACAAAAAAAACAACGATGATGATAAAAGCATAAAGAGTGTTTGGTGGTTTCTTGACCAGTCATTGCAACTACACAAGGCAGCTTGTGTATCAAACTCGGTCCACAATGTCCTGTTAATGTTGATGTCGGAAAATGGGTTGCAAAGGCGGTTGATCGTTTTGTGCGTAAGCTAAAGTTTAAGCTTCTCTGGTCCGCAGATTCAATCAGCTTACCTAAGAAGCCTTTACACATGCGAAACGCTAGTGAAACTGAATCTCTCCCACAAGGTTCTCATAGATTTTCCTTCTTCTCCCGCGCGCCTCCCATCCCTTAAAAAGCTCATCCTTATCAATGTGGCCTATAAAGACGATGCTTCTCTCATTAGGTTCTTATCAAGCTGCTCTGTTCTTGAGAAACTACGAGTCAAACGAGAAGGGAATGACAATATCAAGAATTTCTATGTGATAGTGCCTTCTTTACAGGACTTATGGTATCATGATTATAATTATAATGATGTAGGAAACCCTGTCAGGTTCTTGGTTATAGATACTCTGGCATTGGAGTACATTCACATCTTTAATTGTTCAAAACACTATTTCTTGATCAAGAATATGCCTTGTCTTGATAATGCATATATAGGTGTTCAAACCTACGCTGATGACAAGTTGCCAAGATCTCTTTCGTCGGTCTTGTTTCTTGAGTTGTTTTTGGCTGATGAAATGGTAGCTTTCTCTCTATATCTCTCATTGCTTGTGATCACATTTTTGCATCTACTAATAATGTTGTTTATTCTATCACATAGCTTGTGCGTTGTGGCACTATCAACTTCTCTCGACTTACAGAGTTAATAATATGTCCAGAGAAATCAGACTGGTTGGAACCACTCCTAATTTTACTTGGAAATTCTCCAAACCTAAAAATTCTTTTGGTTGATTACGTAAGTATATCTTCCTCCTCTTCTACAAGTTCTACTAATAAGTAGAAATAGTTGAAAATCGCCTCATATATTAGCCCTCGTTCACTTCTCAGGAATATACCGAAAACCCCGAGGACCTCCCACTTTCATGGAACGAACCGAGTTCAGTTCCTGGTTGCTTGTCTTCCCATCTCGAGATCTTTGAGTGGATTCTAAAATATGGAGGAAGGGTAGAGGAGAAAGAATTCGTTACATACATCCTAGCTAACTTAAGTGTTTAAAAAGAGCAACAATCTCCTTAAGGTCTGCATTCAATCTTGAAGAAAAACAAAAGGTGATCGAGGAACTGGAATCTATCCCTAGAGTTTCTAAGTCATCTCAGCTCCTACTCAAGTGAAAATTTGTATTGTTTCTCTTTGTTATTACCATTTTGCCACAGACATCAAGTCTCTACATTCGAGTTTATCTACTTTTTGCAACTTGCTACTCTCTGAAAGTGATTGAGATGTCTCACATATAAGCACACATGATGATTCAGGAATAAGCGTACGAACAAAGGCTCTTCAGATGCTAAGTTCCAAGTAAAACTGCATGATAAAAACAGAGGATGTGCCTATATGATTGTTCGGATTATTACCTTGGCCTCTTTCCATTCACTTTTCAAAGCAGCTTGATACAGAGGAACACAGAGATCCAGGTATTCATCTCTCCCAGGAGTGAGAATATGACCGTTTGATCCTGTAATATCTACTTTCACAGCTTCACAAGGTTGACTTTCTACTGTCCAAATTATTGGTCGTTGTAACTCGAGTTGAACCACATGGTCGTTCAGTTTCTTAAGGAGGATTGCTTCTGTCCAAATTGTTCATTTCCAATGTCTAAATTCGGTGAGGTTCTCCAAATGTAACTCCAGATTATCTTGCAGCTGTTATTACACCAAAAGTTGGAAGTTAAGAAAAACAAAAAATTCAAAATCAAGAAACTCATCAATTTAAAACCGGAAGCTTCGAATTAGCCAAGTTAGGGCATCACATTCTCTAGCTCTCTATATCTATCGAGTGTGACAGAGCTAAAGAGAAAAGATGGGAAGTTTACACAACTCATTGGTTACCTTCGAGAACCGTCTCTGGTGCAGCCTAGTCTTCTTCGCTTGACTTCAGAAGAGAAAGCAAAAAAGGCGGGTTCAATCTCCTCCATTGTTGCTAAATAAGCAAATAAGTAGGCCAAGAGGGAGCTTGAGAGAGTGGGATGCTCGTTACAAATTATGATATACTTATTTCTAACGAGCAAGACCAATATGTCAAGTAATAGAGTCTCTAGTAAAAATTTTATTCCATTAATCTTCCAATATTGAACAAAACACTATGAAATTACAAAGGAACAGAACATCTGCAATATAAGTCTATTCCCCAAATTAATTCAGATATGCAAAAGCTAAAACAAACACTACAGAAAATTACAAACATTACAACTTACAATGACAAACCGCAAAAACCGTTTCTTTTTATCTTCTTCTTCATCATCCGATCGATTAAACGATTAAATATCAAAGTTCTCCATCTGAATGCTACTCTTTAAAGGCACATAATCACCAAGATACCCACCAAGATGATCGTGCAACGCGGATTTATCAATCGGCTGATGATGAAAACTCTTACAAACATAGTAAAACACACTCTGCACAAGCAACCCCACAAGATTCACAATCACTAGAATCCCAACCAAGAAACCACCAACAACAATCTTCGTAAACAACCCGAAATCATCACCTCCATGAACCACAACACCACCGAAAACACCGGCCGTGATTCCACAAAGAGCAAGATACATAAAAACCATCGAACACGCCATATTAGTTCTTCCTTTAAGCAACTCATAACTCTTCTTCATCGCAGCAATCCCGTAAATCGGTTCAAGAACAGAGACAACACTAGCTAAATGCCACCAAGCAGTCATATAAACATGAACACCCAAAAACAGAACAAAGATCACAACCATCGAGAAAACAGCGAGAATCACGCTTTGTAAATCGATAGCTACGATCAAAACAACAAGAAACAACAAGAAAACAGAGTTGTACACAAGCATCATTAAAGAAACCCAAAGGAAGGTAATGAACAAACGCTTCAAAACCAGAGGAATCGCTGACATTGTGGAAGAGAAAGAAACTGGCTTTCCCGTGTAAAGCGAAGCGACGGTGAAGACAACGGCAGCTGTGGAGAGAAGAGAGAAGGCGAAGAGGAAGATAACATAGATGAATTGATAAACAAGAAGAAGGGTCCATTCATGATTGGTTTTAGATTGATCTGAAGGAGGAGTTGAATCGAGCTGAGCTAAGATTGGTTGGGTAAAGAGAGAATGAGCGAGGATTGCGAAGGAAAGAGGGAAAATTAGGGTTAGGGTTATGAGGTAAAAGGTTTTTGGGGAAAATTTGGGGATTGTTGTGGATTCACGTAATATACCTTGAATGTTGAGAAATTGAAGCTCTTCTGCAGCGAGATCCATGGCTGAGATTAGGGTTGGGGAGAGATTGGGGAAGAATGTTAAAGGAGGTGACTTTTTTTTGAAGATCTGATGGAATTTTTTTCAGAGAGATCTCAACAGAGAGAGAAAGGACAAGGAAGAAGGTCACGAAAGAGGACAAGGAAGAAGGTCACTTCATGGTTAAGAAAATTCCTGTCTTTCTTGGAAAATGAACAATTTCTAAAATTAGAATCAAAGATCCACGACGCGAAAAAAAAAGATATAGACATTTTTTTGAAAAGAAAAAGTTTACACTAATTAAATCATACTGGATAAATTAGAGTTTTGTGCAAAAAAAAACTATAGAAATTTTTTTTTATGTAACTTTTTTTCAAGACAAATCTTTATATTAAATAAATACAGATTAATATTACAATTTCAAAAATCATCTGCAATATAGTTTTTCTGTATAGTGATAACATGGCAGTTGATAACTTCGTTAGAAAACATAAATGTTTTTACAAAAATATCTTATATATAATTTTTTTTGCAAGATAAGCCTCCATGTCAAATAAATGCAGATTAATACCACAATTTCCAAGTCACCTGCAATATAGTTCTTCCGTATAGCCATGATATGGTAGTCGATAACTCAAGCTCAATATCCTATGGACTTCTTGCAGATCGACGTCACAATGATGACTGTGACTATGGGATTCCTACTCATTGTTTTTCTGGTAGAAGAACACGGCTTGAACCTTCTCGGACAACGACAAACCCGAGAAATCTACTCTACACATGTCAAAATTTTGTAGTAAGTGTTTGTATATACGGGCCTAGACCCAGAACCTAGTGATGTCGAATTATATGGGTTGGGAGGGTATAAATTGATTTCTTCATGGTTTTTATAGTTAATAGTTAATATATATGTGATTATTTTTGTCTAACTCATTAGCTATAAGAGCATGGAATTAATTATCTCGTCTTATAACAGAACAGACTATATACTTGTGTTGGCCCGGTCTCGTTGGTCTCTCTGATGCATATTGCAGAACGGGTTCTTGGTGTTATCGCGGAGATACTTAAAAGCGGTTAAGAAAGAACTTCAAATACATGATCAGGGATTCAAGTTTTGATAGCTCTTTTAGTGATTCTCCCACTGATATGATATGAGATATTTCAAGAATGCTAAGTGGTTATTTGGTTTTCTTGTTTTAGTTGCCATCGTGTATAATATTTTATTGTATTGACATATATCACTGTGTGTCATTGTCTATTTGTTTTTTTGGTTGTTTCAACAACTACCCAAATTTGTAGTTAAGATTATACTGATTAGTTTAAGACTCACTCAAATCCAGTCAACTAATTTAATATTCTTTGTAGATCAATAATCAATCATGGAATCAATTGTGATTAAGTAAAATACATTGAAACCATTGAATCCAACGTTCTTACAGAAAACTATTCTCTTGTTTTTCCTCTGCAAATAATTTCATCAAAGACTATCTATCACCTTCCATGGGCTCCTCCTTCTCCCTCTTTACCGACGTTGGACCGATCCCGCCTCAGTATCAAGTGTTCATCAACTTCCGAGGCGAAAAACTTCGTGATGGGTTCCTAGGATTTCTTGTGGATGCTCTTTTAAAAGAGAATGTCAACATCTTTATAGATGATCATGAGCTTAGAGAGTTAGAGGGAGAGATCTTGATCATCTCTTCAATAGGATCGAGGAATCGAGAGTCGCATTCACAATCTTCTCCAAGAACTTCACCGAGTCAAGATGGTGCTTAGATGAGCTTGCAAAGATCAAAGAATGCGTTGATCAGAAAACTCTTACAGTGCATGATTCCTATCTTCTTTAAGATGAAAACAGACGATGTGAAGAAACTAAAGGGAAAGTTTGGAGAGAATTTCCGGGAACTGAAGTCAACGCATCGCGGCGAGCCTGAAACTTATCAGAGATGGAAGGAAGCTTTATTTTGTGTTTCGAGAAAAACTGGCTTATCTTCATCACGATACAGGTCTAGACTTTGTCCCTTTTCTTCTGTTCTTGGTTGAAAACTTGGAATACTCTGTTTCAAGACTCTGTTCTTGGTTAGTTCAGGACATAAGCTTATTCACTCACAGATCTTTTGATCTCTGTTATGACAGTCGTCAAAATGATTTGGTGAGCACAATCGTTGAGGAGGTTAAGAAAGTTTTAAACGATATCGCCGAGATGGAACGACAAATCGTTGAAGCGAAACGCAACCATTTGGGGGCAAGAACAGATGAATTGATTAGATTTGTTGTCCGTTTCCTAAGTCTGTTTCTTCTTTTTACAATAGTTTTTGGTCCTTATGTTTTAGGCCTTCTCACTTTTTTCTCTTTTCTTGTGGGTCGTTTGATAATCAATCGAGCTGTGGAAAGTGAGTGGTGAATGGTAACGTTTGCGTTTCTACGAGAGAATACGTAAACGCAAAGAATCTGAGACTGAGAGTTTCATTTTGGTTACATTGTTGCATTGGATATTTTTTTATACGAAATAATTTGATTTTGATTAGTTTGACCTTGCATCAATTATTGATAGAGTGATTAATAACTATCTTCTTTATAACCTACTACCTAAGACTGGGTATAAAAACATTAAACTTTTAGTCAACTACTAGATCAATGAGACTTCCACAGTGTCTCCTCTCTTGACTAGAGCTCAATAATGGATCCAGCACGACCACGACTACCGAGCTGCCTGATGACAATTCCGGGAAGCTTTGTGGGTGGGGAGAAGTTCTAGAAGTGTTTTGTAATTAAGTCTTAGCAAAATATCGCATAGACCAAAAGTCAACTGTACTACCAAGTATGCATTCACATCCTCAGTGTTAACACACGAGAGCCAAGCACTAAGTGGTTGAGAGTTGGTTTCACAATGCATAATTGCATATACTTTTTGGTATTCGGATTTCTATTTAATCTTATAGAATTATGTGCTATCTGAATGTTGATGAGTTATGATTATTTACAGTCTTCTATCTAGTAATAAGTAAATGTTCTTGCCATTCGTTATATATCATCTTTTACAAGAAAATTTTGTCATTAGTTTCCATTTGCCTGGTCAAAAGAACAAAAATGTCACCATGTATTAAAGAAAGATTTACCCAACATGCCATTTTATATATTGCATAAAACAGTTATACATAATGTCATTTTATATACTGTATGTGCATACATTAAAGAAGAGACATGGCTTGAAACTTGCTTGAATATTAAATGCCATGATAATTCAAGAACGAAGCGTTGACATTTGAAATGAAATTTTCCAAAACATGCCAGCTTCTGAACATGTTCTTCTCCATAAATTCAGGAAGCAAATTTTAAACAAGAAAGTCTTAAGCCTCCCATGACAGAGCCAAGATCATACCAACGTCCTCCTCAGGTGTTCATCAGTTTCCATGGAGATGAATTACGCGACAATTTCATCAGATATCTTGTGTGGGGATTGAGAGATGAAAGAGTCAACGTTTTCATAGACAGAGCAGAAGCAAATAGGAGAGACATACGAAATATTTCCACAAAGATCGAGGAGTCGAATATCGCGGTCGTCATCTTCTCCAAGAGGTATACAGAGTCAGAGATGTGTTTGAACGAGCATCAAAAGATGCACGAGCACGTAAAACAAAGCAACCTTAAGGTGATACCTGTCTTCTACGATGTGAGCATAAGCGATGTAAAGAATCTCCAGGGTGAATTCGGTAATCATTTCGAGGAAATGAGGATGAAATATGCCAACGATCCACTCAAGATCTTGAATTGGGAGGATTCATTGAGTTCAATAGCAGAGAGGACCGGCTTAACCTCGGAAGAACACGGGTAATTATTTTCTTGATGATTCTCTTAAGTAGTGAAACACAAGTTTTAAATATCGCTTGCAAGCCAAAATAGACGGAGTGTGGAAGAACATTTAAGCCAATTCTTGTTAATTTGTTTTTAGGAAGACAAAATATTTTAGCTCATCTAACGGTTTATTCCTCACATATGTTTGCAGAATGGGTTTAGGTCTTGTCATGGCAATCGTTAGGGCGGTTAATAGCGAGCTAACGGACTCTTCCGAAAGAAGAAAGATTACGAAAGGACAAGTGTTTGTTTTGGCTTCAGCTGCGGTTTTTATCTTTAGTCTCTTTGTAGCTCGTTTACTTTGCACTGATGTGAAAGTTTACAAAGCTGTTAAGTGTTTACTAGGTTTCCCAGTTTTGGTTGGTGTCTTGCACCAGCTTTACTGTCTACGGACCCAACCGAACAGACGATGATGACCTCTTGATTGATTACCAACTCATGGTCAAACGGTTTCGTGCTGCTTGGTTGTACATTACATCTCTGTTTGATTGTTATTTACTACGGTAAAGAACGTAAGAGATTGCGTCTTGTATCACTCTGCTTCTATCTTTTGTCTTCTTCATTGGTATAACCATGTTAAAAGGGTTTTTCTATTTATAGTTTTGGGAAAATTTCAGAAAAAAATCCAGAAATTGGAAACTACTTTCTAAGGGTTTTTCTCAAATTTTTTTTTTTTTTTTGAATACTAGGAAGTTCTTGACCAAAGCCCGTAATCCCCCAGGCCCGAAACCACAACATGTAATATTAGTTTCATCCCAAGCGTCACTTGAACCGGCGACCTCTAAGCTTCGCCTAGGATCTTTACCATTTGAGCTAACGACACTTACTATTTTTTTTTCTCCAAATTTCACCAATTCTAAAGGGATTTTCTCCTTAAACCTTCTATATTGGTATAACCATGCCAGAAAACTACTTTAACTTTTTTCTCTTTTCTTTGAATGTAATAAATTGAAGGGAAATTACGTCAAATGGCTTAGAAAAGTCCACTAATTATTCTAAAGGCTTAGTCAAGATGATCTTTACTAGAATGGCTTAAAAAAATTTGAAAAAGACTTTTAACCCTAATTACATTTTCTTATTTACAATTAGTGCCATTTTGAATTAAATTTTTTAGAAAAAAACAAACTTAAATATATAAGAAAACAATCCTAAAACCTAAATATGTTATCCTAAGTAAAAAAAAAGACCAGCTCTCTCTCATGTTACGAGGCAGCCGTTTGCTTCCGTCGCGAAGCCGTTGATTGAGGCTTTGATTCAGGAAGGTGATTCGAATCTGCAGATCGGAGCGGCGTTGTGTTTAGCGGCGTCTGTTGAAGCGGCGACGGATCCGGAATCAGAGCAATTGAGGAAATCGTTGCCTAAGATTGGGAAATTGCTTAAGAGTGATGGTTTTAAGGCTAAAGCTGCGTTGTTGAGTGACGTCGGGAGTATAATTACCGCCGGTGGTGCGGGAACTAAACCGGTTTTGGATTGGTTAGTTCCGGTTTTGATTGAGTTTTTGAGTATTGAGGATTGGGCGGCTAGGAAGTAAAACCTAAACCTCTTTCGTCGATACAGAGACATTCTTCGACAAAAAGTGAGAAGAGAAACGAGGTCTCTTCAGCGGATCTCTTCGCCGGATCTCTCGCCGGAGTGTATCAGCCACTCCTTCTCACTCCAGTCCAGTCCAGCCACTCCTCTTTGATCTTCTTCCCTGGAACTCTCGCCGGAATTCAGCACAAGAGGTAACCCAGTTTTTCTTTTATATATAACACGTCTTAATTGAGATTCTTTGTGCCATTCAAACATTTCATTTCATCTGTTAACTTGGCTGGGTCGCTAAAAGTGACATGTTTCTCTTAGGAATATGTGAAGTATGGCCTGGGCCTTGCGTTTTCCCTGACTATACAAATTCCAAAGCACGCTCTTGGTGGGCTAATTTGGTTAAGGAATTTGTTTCAAATGGTGTAGATGGTATATGGAATGATATGAATGAGCCAGCTGTCTTCAAAGTAATTTTTATCTACTCTGCATTCACCCTTTATCATTTTCTTGGCAGAATCTTTATCCAAATTTCATATGGTCATATTTGTCAATGTCCAGGTCGTGACAAAGACGATGCCTGAGAACAATATTCACCGTGGAGATGACGACCTTGGAGGTGTTCAAAACCACTCATACTACCACAATGTAACTTTTTTGTTCTACTCTAATCTCATTTTCTCTGTTATTGCTTGTAAAAATTTCTTTAGCAGCTTTATTACCTTGGAGGTACGATGTCAGGCCCACTGCAAGATAGTCAAGATTTCCTGTTGTGTAGGTCTATGGGATGCTGATGGCCAGATCAACTTATGAAGGGATGGAGCTAGCTGATAAGAATAAGCGACCTTTTGTATTGACAAGAGCTGGATTCATAGGTAGCCAGAGATATGCTGCGACTTGGACAGGAGATAACCTTTCAAACTGGGAGCATCTACATATGTCTATATCCATGGTCCTTCAGCTGGTAAGAATTTCAGGAATTTGCTGAATCCTTATCACAAAATTAAAGTATGGAGTGGGATAGTCATTTACGATAACTAATATATCTTGTCAAGCTCTGATGACCAAAAAGTTTAGTACTCGTGATCATTTGCTTTGGATGAATTGTTTATTGTTCATTTAAGCTTTGGTGTTGCTTATAACCTATATTTTTCTCCACTTTGATAGAGCTAGCAGCAGAAATGAGTAAAAATATGGTTTTGCTGTTATATTTCTCGATTTGGACAAAGAACTATTAAATTTTTTTTTTTCCCATCATAAGTGAACAATTGCAACACCTATTAACTCTGAGACAGTAAATTGCATACAGGGGCTTAGTGGTCAGCCCTTATCAGGGCCAGATATCGGTGGCTTTGCTGGCAATGCAACTCCGAGGCTATTTGGACATTGGATGGGTGTTGGAGCTATGTTTCCATTCTGCCGTGGTCATTCTGAGGCTGGCACTGATGACCATGAACCATGGTCTTTCGGAGAAGAGGTAATCTTTTTCTTGAAAATCTTGTAAGAGCTATTTCAGCATTACACCATGGTCGTATCTGTTCTTTCTCTTTGTTAAATGCTTTTCATGGACTGTCTACTTGTGGCCTCAGTGATCCGACTTTTGCTTTGTTACTACTATTAGATTGATGCAGTGGTATACCTAGTGGATGCATATGACAAAGAGAGGTTTGCAGAATCAAAGAAAGAGCTTGACGCTCTTCTCTCTGATGAATCCCTAGCAAATGTCCCTTTCCTTGTTCTTGGAAACAAACTCGATATTCCTTACGCTGCATCAGAAGACGAGCTGCGTTATAATGTAGGCCTCACCAATTTCACCACTGGGAAAGGTAAAGTGAATCTAGCATGAACAAATGTTCGTCCCCTTGAGGTGTTCATGTGCAGCATTGTCAGAAAGATGGGTTTCGGCGAAGGATTTAAATGGGTTTCTCAATATATCGACTAGATCAATTATAAGTCTTTATCTATCTATACAATGTGATAGTTATCTCTACTTGTCATAATATCTATATGTATGATTACGATTCAAATGAAATATGTGAATGTGTGTATACGTGAATGTCGATGTGACCTGGTGGTAGCATGTGTGCTTTTGTAAACCATTGAGTCAGGTTCGAATCTCAGAACTGTGTGTGTTTTTTTTTATTTTTTTTTTGTTCTTCGTCTTCACAAAAACGCAAAATCAATCGGAATCTGCAGTGTGAATTAACGATTCTCTAGATTTTGGAAACGTATCTTGATTCCCACAAGTAAAGACGAATTCTTCTTCTCAGATCTAATAGAATCAACAAATTATTTTTAACAATCACAATCAGATGTGAAAACGAAATCATGTTCTTGTAGCTAATGATAAACAATTCGTTCCTCCATTTTTGCAGCTAATGATAAACAAGCTACTGATAACAATCGAATCGCCTACGATTCATCACTCTGCAACTTGAAAAAGAAACCATCTTTAGTCATATTGGTAAACAAACTTCAATTGGAAAAAAAGGAGAGATTTTTGGTATTAAAAATTGAAAATCTAACTTTCACCGAAGAAGAAGATCCGAGTTCAAATATCTCTCCTTTATGTTATCGGAGATGTGAAAGGAAGAAGTCGACCGGTGAAGAATACGAAGAACACAAAAAAAAAATTTAAAAACAAAAAAAACTACAGAGTGTAGTGTCGAACCCGGCTCTTGAAGTTTTCAAAACCCAAACGCTGCCACCTGACCACATCAACTATCATGTTCTGTATAGTAAACAGATGATATATATTTATATGAAAACAGATGATATATATTTATATGAAAACGTGGGTTTAAATTTCGTCGATGTGCTCAGATTCGGAACCACCGACAAAGTGTATAACCTACAAACAACGAAGAAGATGCGTGTCCATTGAAATTGTAATTACGGTTAAAGTGGGAGAGTTTTTTTGGAATTGCCAATTTTTACGTTGTGACAGATTTAACATCATACATAACTCTATCAAAATAAATCTATCATGACTATCTAAAAAAACTTTTTTGCAGGATTGCGGTTTTAACGATTTTAAGTCTACCCCCACATTGTCTCGCTAACTCTGTCACCAAGCAGTCGTAATCCCACAACTCTATCGTCACACACAACAAGTCTTCCACCATTTATCTGACACACTGTGACACGCTAGTAATTAATTTGTTGGATAAGTCTGTCGATTATATAATAAATCTATCGTAATTAATTACTCTACTTTAACTAGTCACAGACTTTGTTCCTATTTTCTAACTCTACCACATTACTCTGGTTTTCTTAACAACTCTATCATAACCTTTGTTAACTCTACCTAACTAATCTATTTCCTAAATTACTCTGTCATAACTACATGTTAGTCTGCCTAACAAATCAATTTTACATATTACTCTGTCACCACTGTATACATCTCTACCAAATAACTCAACCAAAACTACATAAATCTATCACTCTACTTCAATCTACTGTGTCTTCGACATAGATTTATCAAACATATCTGACAACTCTGTCATTGTTTATTAAAACTACCATACAAATCTGTCACCTCCATAAATCTGTCACCACTTCCAAATTATCCTCCCTTTTTCCCGCCGCTTACTTTTTCCCAGCTCCCGCCTTTTTCATGGCATTTCTGTAAATAACTCTAATTACTTCTAATGGCAATTTTGTTATATTTTTTTTCTCCTCACACATCTTTGAGGGCAAGTTTGCCTTTAAAAAAAGATAATACTATTCATCCAAAACCATGCTATTTTAGTTATTTTTCCTCTTTACTAAGCCTTTTGAGTAACTCTCCCTAAATTGAATTAGGAAGAATTTTCGGCAACAAATATATAAGGTTTCTTTCAAGAATTTTTCCGTCAATAAAATTAACATCGTCGTAAGAGGAAATCATAACTAAAAAATAGATCGTGTTTTTTGTATATTCTAAATTAGTTTGTGTATTTTTCTAACAATAAAAAACATTTATGTAGTTTTCTAGCAAATATTAAATAAGTTGAGTCTTTTCAAAAAAAATTCCTTCAAAAGAATTTCTTCGAAACATTATTGACCCGACCCATGACCCCGGATTTAGAGTATTCGGATCCATTGAGACAAAGGTGTTGTATAATATTAAAGAAAGACTGAGGATAGGTGCAGACTTGGCATCGAGTCACCGATTGGTCTGAAGAATTAAAGAATGGTTTCTCTGTAATGTATTTTAAGAACAACAAAGTCTCTCACCAACTATATTCTCTATTTTTTTCAGACGAACCTAGACACCATTCCAATGGATGAGCAGGTCCAAGAACCTCTTTCTGATCAGGTGTTTATCAACTACCGCGGAGATGAGCTGCGCGAAATCTTTGTCAACCATCTAGAGCAGCAATTAAGAAACGCAGGGATCAACGTCTTCATAGACACTAAAGAGCAGAAAGGGAGAAGACTACAATATCTCTTCACAAGGATCAAGAAGTCAAAAATCGCGCTTGCTATCTTCTCCAAGAGGTACTGTGAGTCAAAGTGGTGTTTGGATGAGCTTGTGACGATGAATGAACAGATGAAGAAAAAGAAACTCGTGGTGATTCCAGTCTTCTATAACGTAAGATCGGACGATGTGAAAAGAGCAGCCAATCCCGATGGAGCAGGCGGTCTTGATGGAGAGTTTTCCCTTCCTTTTAAACAACTGAAGCAAAAACATGCAGGGGAGCCTGAGAGGGTCGAGAAATGGGAGTGTGCCCTGAGATCCGTGACAAAAAGAATAGGGTTTTCCCGGTCAAAATACGAGTAATATTTCAAAACACATGTTTTCTTGATTATGTTTGGATCTATGCCCGACTAATCGTTCGATTAGTAGATCTCTTTGGTAAGGAGTTTTATGCAAACCCACCAACCGACCGTGGGTATATTAACCGGAAAAAGCCTAGATGACTGAGCGATCTATGCGCAAACAAGATCGCCTACTTGCATCATCGGTTGTTATCGATTTCTTTTATCTAACTCACGTTTTTATTTTATTTTTTTGCAGACACGATACCAATTTTGTTTTAGATATTGTTAAGGAGGTTAAGAAACAGCTAAAGATACCAACTGACGAAAGTTGGTCAGCTATAGGAATTGCTATCTCGGCTATAACCATCAACTTTATCTTTAGTTTCTTCATTGCCCCTAAGTATCTCCCTGATCAGAAGTTTTTCCAGACTCCTGAATGGTTCATAGGTTCTCTGGCAGTGGTTCTTGCGTTGTGGTTTTGGTACAAAAATAACCAGAACAAAGCACCACTTCCTTCATAAGTGGCTTTTGTGCAACTTTATGCTGTTTATTTGTGTGTTGTTTTAATGTGGTGTTAAAGATAATTTGGTTGGTTTGTACATTTGTGTCTTTTCGTTAATAATTACTCCCTCCGTATTTTAATAATTGTCGTTTTAGAATTTTTATTTTTTTAAATTGGATGTCGTTTTCAAATTTCTATGCAAAATTTATTACTTTTTAATGTTTTATGACATCATAAAACATTAAAAAGTAATAAATTTTGCATTGAAATTTGAAAACGACATCTAATTTTTTAAAAAATAAAATCCTAAAACGACACTTATTAAAATACGGAGGGAGTATGTTGTAATTGTCAGTTACTATCTTCAAGAACAAAATTGTGCTTTGTATCACTCTGGTTCTCTTCTCTGAGTAAGCTCTTTGACAAGACATTCTCGTTTTCCTAAAAGTCTTTTGCTTCTTCATTGGTTAGCTATTAATGGAAATGGTTGATTTTATCACTTGTGTGGTCTTTGAGTATAAGCAAATTAAAAGATGAAATGCACCTCTCTTTGCTTAAATCTCTATTGATCTTTAACACTCTCTAAAGTCAAACCCACCAGGATATGCGCATTCTTGATCTACCCCGTGACCCGGAATTAGAGAGTGATGTGGTTCCTATATATAAAAGAGAGTGATGTGGTTCCTATAACCAATCCATATTTTTACAGTCTTGTCGATTCTTAATCGTTTGTGTGACTCTTTGTTGCAGTATCTTCTAAAGCTAATGGTGTTAATTAAGATAGGAGAGTCAATCAGCCTGATACTGATTTGGGAAGCAGAGGGAAGCTCTGTTCTTAACTTCTGCTCCAAGGTGATGTTAGAGACCAAATGAGGATATTTATAAAAACACTCGAGTACGTAAGGGTAGGGGTTGGCAATTACTTCAAACCGAACTTACCGAAACGGACTAGGATTTGGTATTTTTAACTATCTCATAGTTAATCACAAACACTCAATTATTCAGAAATTATTTCCATCAGTATAAAAAAAAAAGAAAAAAAAATTGATATGGTATTTTTTAACTATCTAATAGTTTAATCACAAACACTCAATTAATCACAAATTATTTCCATAAGTATTAAAAAAAAAAAAAAAAATTATCGTCCGTCGCCGGCAACCGTTTGGAAAGTTTCTATAAAAACCTATTTACAAATTTGTATTAGGCCTAAAATGTGTAATACATCTCAAGTCTATTATAAACTAGGTGGTGTCTCGTGCGTTGCACGAGTTTGTTTTGTTTTTACTTTTACATTATTAATTTTTCATTGTTTAGTGTTGAATCCCGTTTAATTTATATATAACTTGTTTTGCTTTACTTAAAAATATATTTATTATTTGTCATCTTATTAGTTTTTGTTTTGGTAGGGGAGAGGTGACAATTATTCCTTACAATTTATTAATTTATAAAAGAAATTACATACGAATATCACGTGGAAATTTCACGCTATTAGCATCCTCCAACATAACCAAATGAATTACATCAGGGCAAAAATCAAAATAATGAAATCCTAATTGTAACAAAAATGCATCGTTTGCTAATCCATCGGCTAGACGATTAGTTTTCCTTTACACATGAGCAACCCAGAGTAACCAGTCCTTTGAGAGAAAGCCTTGGCACAAACATACCATAAACACCAGCGGATGAACATTACTTATCTC